GTGGTTGATCCTATACTCCCATATTGTTCTCCAAAAGTCAGCCACAGTAGAAGGAAGAGGACCTGTAAGAGAGATCGACAAATAATATTAACAATTAACTCTTCATTAAATCAATCAAAAAAATAATAACACTATTATTATTCGGCTGAGATATTTATTACACATTACATAAAAGAAAAGACATACGTTACCAAATGCATACAGTAAAACATGTACATGTACATGCATACAAGTAAACTTTAGCTAAAATTCCAGTTACTTGAAATTTCCATTATAATGTATACATTTACATACACATATACATGTACATGTACATGTAGCAGGTGCATAAATTTATTTAACAAAAATGATACATACCTTGTGCAGCAATGTAACAGTCTTTTCTATTGTAACCCTAAAATATAATAAACAAATAGATACATTCATGTATAGTGTTTAGTATCTTACATCAATATAGCAAGCATTGATATAGTCAGAATCAGGAACACCAGTTAACTCTGTTAGCTTCACTCGTGAGAAATCATCTTTAAAAATAAATAAAATAATAATAAATAAGTTAATGTATGTACATGTACATGTATAAAGACTAAATCTTATCCAGAAAATTACAAGTATAATAACAATAATAATAATATAATAACAATAGTACTAGTAGTTGGTATAACGGTAAACACTTTATACCAGGAAATTCACAATCTTCATAAGCTCAATACTTAACCTCCCCCATCACATACACATGTACAGCTATAAACTTAAATGTAAATACATTATCAGACATTAAGTACATTGAATACTCAAACAATATACATGTGTACATGTACATGTAGTGCCCTTAATAAAGAATAATGCTTACATGTGCATGTACATACAATACTAAGAATTTATCAATTATGATAAGGCCAGACATGGTAGTACTAGTCACTCCTTAACAATAGATAGTTGTGTAAATGTTCACTAGGAAGTAATGGCCCATACAATAACAGTGGGCATACCAACAGAATAACAGTTATTGGAGCAGTGATACTAAAAATAGCTTTGGAGGGTTGTTACTAAAAATAGCCCAGCAGGCCTAGCATACAAAATAATAACTCAAAATTAATCTATAGCTAGAAAAATTTGGAGTTTTAAAATTGGCAAATTGACTTTAAGAGGTTTGAAGGTTAAAAGTTTGGCCAAATTTTAACTCTATGCATGCTTCTATGGAACCCTATCAAATTGGAGACTAAAAATTTGGCAAATAGCCAAAATTTTACTCCACCAAATTTTCTCGCTATACGGTAGCTCATTTTGTAAATTTCTAATAATAGCTTGTAAAGGATGAGTGTTTCTAAAAATAGCTCAATCCTATTTAAGGTAGCAACGACTCACATGGGAAGATGTTGGCAAATCTATTTTTAGTTTTGTTTCCCTCGTTCCTTCCAATGTCAAAGCTTGTCTCAGTTTGCATTGGAACAGACTAAAAGAGACAAAATATTTTGAATGTTAGACCACACCCATCAGACACACCTACCTTGTACTCCATTTCAAATCCTTTGTCAGAGTCAACGTGCATCTCTTGAACGTGTTCGTGGAAACTGGCAACAGCAATTGGTTTCATTCTCTCAAGAACTGGGAAAAGAGAAATAAGAAATTAAATAATACAAATGTACATATGTACAGTTTCAAAAAGATAACATTAAATTGACTTCCAATAACAAAAACTAAAGCCTAAGTGCTAAATATTTCAACACAAAATTAACATATACCGTACAAGATGATTTGGCGAATTTTATATTGACAATTTTGTGCCATGTACCATTGAGCATGCTCAGATTAAAACAAAACGGCGAATTTTATATTGGCAATTTCTTCATAGATCCACCAACTGCCAATACTAATTCCTTGCCAATAAATCATCTTGTACGGTACATGTACATGTACATGTATTATCCTACCATTACACCATTGTACATATTACTATCATTAGGTTATATAAAGGAGGAGAATGGAAACCACTTAATCCACCCACTACTAATGCTAATGGACACTTGATCAATTGTAACCTGGTGAGTATTGAGCATTGAACCAGCAAAATACATGTAGATTGATAGTAGCAAAGATGTGTACTATTACATTATTATATTAATGTACTGTAAAAGCTGTCTATATTTCCAAGTAAAATGTTGCTAGGTACAAATATACATTATACAATATATGACATACTCATTTCCTCATCAAGACGATCATCAGGCTTCTCCTTAACATCATCATCCTCCTGTCCATCAGCTCCTGTTACCACTGGGGCTGAGGCTCCATTAGCATCAGGTCCATCATCCAACTGTCTGAATGAAGTAGTGTTCGTTGGCGTCAGTGGGTTAGACTCGAGCAACTCAAATAAATCTTTCTTCTTTGATTTGCCGCTAATATTGAATTTATCGGCTTGCTTGCCTCGACTGTAAAATGAGTGTGCATAAAAGAGATAGTGAATCATAGAAAAGAGAAAGATATGCATATACATGTACATGGTATAACCCAAAACTTTAAATATTTTTACAAGTGGGCTGTTTAGTTCTAAAATACTAATATTTTAATTGTATTATTATTAGAGTAATGCTTGCATGATTAGGCTCATTAATTAAATCAGATTATTTGTAAAAGTTTACCACTTTTAGAAAAATTTTTATCACTGAAAGTTTTGCGCAATATACTGTACATGTAGTATGTACAACATACATGTACATAAACATGTAGTCATGTACAAAAGGAAGATAGAATATTCATGCATGCACATATGAGAGAGAGAGAGAGGGGAGAGGGTATTTCTCTTAAACTCACCGAACAATGAATATTATAATGACAACAATTAATACAATCAGGAGTAGAGCTAGGACTACACCAACAACAATACCAATAACTAAAAAACAAGAAAAATAAATAAATAAATAAATAAATAAATAAATAAATAAATAATGATAACTTACTGGTATTGATGTTAGAACTTGTAGTTGGTGGAGCAGTAGAAGCTACAGAAAGTAATAATAATAAAACAACAACAATATAAAAGCAATAATAATAATAATAATAATAATAATAAAATAGGAAGAACAATAGAAAATCAAAGTTGTATAATAAGCAACATTAATTAAAAGAATGTACATCTACAGACATACAATGTAATACAAACAGAACTACAAGAACTAAGGGCTTCACTCAAACAACTAACCTAATCTATCTACTACCCTATATCAAGTACAATACATGGCATATATACATGTACACTGTACTGCTATTAATGAACTAACCTGGCGAGGATATCTCAATGGGTGGACTAGTAGGTCCAGCAATAGGTCCCTGGCCTGAACCATCATCAACAGACAGACCCATTGATACAGAATAAGTAGCTTGATCATCAAGATCAGTAGCAGTATAACTGGTCTCAGTAGAAGGGACTCTATATACTAAATCTCCTGCCTGTCTCTTTCTGCTGGATCTTCTCAGTCTTATTGTGTATTCAAAGAAACCACGGGCTTGTGTAAGAGACACAGCATCCCAAGTAATAGTCATATTAGTACCGTCATCAGATCTCACAGCTTGGACATTACTAGGAGAGACACTAGGAGCTGGAGTGGGTGAGGGGGAGAGAAAAGATAAGAGATGAAGCAAATAAAAGAAAGATGCATGTAAGATACCGTATAGTGGGAATTTTTGGAGGGACTAAAATTTGGTGAATTGCTAAATTTTGGTGACTGGTGAATTTGTGACCACGTCCCATTGGAGCATGCGTATAATAGCTCAAAATGGCGGACTTTTATTTTGGCAAATGGCTATCAAAACGCCAAATTTGCCAAATTTAACTACCTCCAAAATTTCCTTCCATACGGTAGATTATACATACATGTACAATAGATGAAGGAAGATATAAAAACAAGATATTACATGCACATCACAAATACAAATAGAATACATGCATATGTACATGTACATGTACACATACTGTATACATACAGTATATACTTACTCAAAACTCTAGTAAAGACAATAACTCTAACTGGCATTCCTCTACCAAACTCATTATAAGCAACCAGAGTGACACTATATGGTACACCAGGAGCTAAAAAACACAACAAATAAAACATGAAGTAAAGTAGGAATTATGATCCTTTAATTATAAACAATTAAAGTTGATGTACATGTAATGTAATGTGGCCATGCTTAATAGTGACCCACTTACTTAATGCATTATCAGTAATCAGTACTGTAAAAGAGTCTCTGTCAACATCAGTAATTGTACGTCTTATCAATCTATTTCTAGTAATATATCCATCAACTTCAATGACATAGGTCATAATGCGTCCATTTGGTGTAGTAGGAGGAGACCATGTCACATTAATGGTGTGATTATCCACTGAGGGTAATGTAGTGAATATTGTACCAGATATAGTAATATCCCTTGTCACCAATAGAGGAGGACTGGAAACTATTAAAAATAATGAGAAGTAATAAGAATGAAGAAAGGAGATAGAGTGATAACTCACTGTCTGGTAGTGTTCTTCCACTAGTAATAGATATAGGTCCAAACCCAATGACAGTGCTAGCAGTAACAGTGGCAG